AATCTGCGTTTTAAATTTATCTTATGCTCTGATCTACTCGAGTTACATACATCTTCGTTTTTTTATGTGTTTGAACATGTGGAAATCATTCGTTTATCCTTTATCATATATAGATCTAATGGAATCGTACTGGTTGTTCACAATTATGTGAATAGACGATTTATAAATCGACTAACAATTTCTCGTTTTTTATTTTTTAATTTACTTTAATAGGACTGGTTCTTCACAGATAATGTGAATAGACGGTCGAAATTCGAAAAATGATAAGAAAATTTTTATATCGACTTAAAATTTCTCGATTTTTTTTTTTAATTTACCATTATCGGACTGACTGTTCACGGATAATGTGAATTGATGGCCGAATTTTGAGAAATAATACGAAAATTTGTCAACAGGCCTACGATTTCTAGATTTTTTTAAAAAAATTTTTGTGTATTTTTTAATGATTATTCTTTATTGAATCGAATATATGTTGAATTAGAATCTTCAGTTTTTAGTGTACTGGAGATGCCCACCTTCTGATGTGGTTCACTAAGGATTCAGACAGTGGATTAAAATAAGGTAACTTCAAAAAACATATTGTAATTGTATAAATTATTTAACATAAGCTTATTTTGCTTAGAGTCAGTTCTTATATATTATTGTATACATTATTAGATTAGTTAATGTTTCCTATGAATCACTGTTTATTAATACGAAAGAGAATCCTTGAACTATATCTACAATTCTATCATGGGACATTCTACAGTCAGGTACCTCTTGTACCTACTTAACATCATGTACCCCTCTATATCACCATTAGATTGACATAGAAATCAATATAAACCATTAGATTGAAGGTACAAGATGGTACAAGACAAAAAAGAATATTGGTCACCTTGTACTTGGTCTTGTACCCCTCGTACTTGAAAAAACCTAAAATACCCTTATTTCATTAAAAATTAAAAATTTAAATTAATAACTTATAAAATAATAATTGTATTTATTTTGAAGGCCATACATTTATATTATTTGTATAACAATCCTCTTTAAGTACAAAAATCATCCCAACCTTAATTTAATTTACAAAAAAAATCAAAATCAACATCTCCTTCTTCCTCCTAATCCTCTGGCGGGCTCAATCCCAAACCCCTCTCACATCCGCCGCCCCGCCGCTGGCCTCCGACGCCTGCGTCGGAGTATTCCTCTCTTATTCCTACGAAGGCAGAAGGATCTTTCTGTGGATTCGGCACTCAGATCCAGCTCGACAGCCCTACCAATTCCTGTCATCCTTCACCGTGCTCAACAACGACGCCCACGAGCTCAAATCCTGGTGAGTTTTCATTGGGTTTCAGCATGACGAATATCTGGTGTCGGCCACGAATGTCGTGCTTGCAGATGGGAGCGCGATGCTGGGGTCCGTGGGAAACAGTCTGTCTTTGCGGGGTTCCTGAATCTGAATCTGGAAACGGGTATCGACACGGCGGGGGGTTTGTCCCCAGTTTGGGGCGGTCCAGTGGGATGTACCCGTGCCTGCAAATATATCGCTCTGGTGAATGATGGGTGGATTTTTTCCAGACCTCGGATGCAAGGTGAGCTTGTGCCACTGTGTGTTACCCTCGTCTTCTTATTCTATTCGTGCATTTTCAATTTATTTAGATTTACTTCACTGGCTGTTTGGAGCTGGAGTACTTGGTAGAATTTGGTCAACTATAGTATGATTCTTAAAGATTTGGCTTTTGGTGGTGTATGTTATGAGCAAAATAATTTGGATTTTGTGGTAAATAGTCAACTAATCCGGTCTTCTTTTGGTGGTGTATGAAAAAGAGGTCCAAAATAATCTGACCTCTTATCAATCTGAACTAATACGGTCCATCGATCTCTCCAAGTTCAGGAATCAATAATCTGACTTCGGGATTTCAAAGGCCGCCAAGGACGCCTTAGAAATCGGCAGGAAGCTCTGGCGAGAGCTCGAGTTAGCTGGAAAAAAATAGCAGCAATCGGGTGTTCGGCAACAAGGGAAGTACCAAACCCGGAACGTGTCCACACTTCATATTAGTCGGAGGTTTGTAAAACCTGAGGTCGGTTATTTGAAGTGTCTCTTTTGAAATATTATTTGAAATTTTCTAAGTGCCATCTGTTTTTAACCTCTGCCCCTTTATAGGGATGGTGAATTTGATTGGAGAACACATAGACTACGAAGATTGCTCAGTGTTGCTAATGGCGCTCGGACATGATACTATTGTGGCCATACGAAAAGTTAAAAGAGATAAAGTTCTTAAGATTGCAAATGTGATTAGTTAGAAATATTCTTTATGTACTTACCCTGCTGATCCCAATCAGGTAAGGTTCAATGGGTGCTCAGTACACTTTCTCCATGTAT